GTATTAATTAAAAACCGCCATTAGACGCGTACCGTGTGTCAACTGCCAATTAAGATCTATTAAACATTATATCACTTGTTTCTCCATCGTGGCAATACACATAAAGTATTTGTTAAGGACTTTCTCGACGCCTCGAGTTAATCAAGAGACATGGATGTTTGTCTCTACTAGATAAAACTATTATTTTCTTGCTATCTCCTTTGTTAATTAGCTGGGGATTATGGTAGTTTGTGTGTGAAAAAGAATGATGTCAAGTCACAGATATAATAATATGAATGTTGAAAAGAAACGGATTTAGACATAAAGTTGTCACAGGCTTGTTCTTAAAGAAAAGGAAAAACTGTGCCTTTGACTTTTTAACAGTTTTGCGATGGGTAAGAAATTATAGAGAAGTCACTTTAAAGGAACAGAAAACACAATGCATTCACAACATTATCTATTAATATTTTATCTTACTCATTCATCTTTAGTTACAAATATTCAAGAATAACATAGTAATTCGATGCTTAAACGTCACTTAGTATTATTAACTTAATTATTTCCTTCGTCTTGAAAACTGTAGGTATACCAACAAGTACAAATAGTAAGCCATAAAAAACCTTATGTAATGTAACATAAACCTAAATTTATAGTACCACTCCAAGGGCTAATGCTATCTGGATTACATTTTACTGCGAGCCCATTACACCGTTTTCTAAAATCCTATAGTCTGAACAATCAAAGCGATGTAAATGGCTCTTCCAGCGCGCAATAAAAGGAGTGTAACTGTATCGTTCCCCGGCACTTATTGAGACTTATGTCTTCAAGAAAGGGTGCTCCTCTACCGATTACTGGATTATTATTTCATTAGAACGACACCCTCTTAATTGGCTTGCGTTCGTTTCGTTTTATAAATAATCTTGTTTACAAATAATTCTACTTTGAAGTGGTATTAAGGTGTTTGGTAATGCTGTAGTTTGCAATTTAGTTAATTGTTGTATAATAATGGAATAATAATAATTTTGTTGAAACCTTCATAATTATTAGATTCCTAATTTAAATTTTAGGTTGTCTTGATTTTTTTATTGAACGACTTTAGGATAAAGTAAATAGTAAAACAAATGTCAAGATTTCCATTTCGACAATAAACTCATACTTACATAGCATTAATAACTCGAAATGAATCGCAATCGTGTAAAGTAATCACAGTTGAAATTAAAAGAGCATTCAGCGAGACGTCGCGACGTCTTAAGATTAAAGTTTACACAACAGAAATATTTCTGAAACGTCGACTTGGAAAAGTTTCGTCTTTGTCATGTAAGAAAATACGGAGGAGTAGGATCGTTTGTCTTCGGCGAGTGAAGCACTAAACTCAAGAGTTTTGCATCCCTAGCAATAAATATTCGTGAGAATGTAAAAGCAGATACGAAGAAGAATTAAAACGATGGATCTAGATTTGTAAAGGCTTTTTCATTTGATAGATGTTTTTGTAAATCTTTTGCGAGTATAACTTCTGAGGAATGGCTCGAGACATTTTATATGGATTCCTTGCCAGTCGAGGGATTAAGTAAATACAATAATGCTTGTCTTTTGAAAATAAAACTAGGGTTGTTAGTCATTGTTGATGTGCTTACGTACTTAAAGTATTTTTCATTGTGAGAATATAAAATGTGACGTACTAAAATAAGCGATTTATTGTTCACGATAAATTCGCGATGTAAAACAAGTACTTTTAAAAATACTTCTACCCAGTTATATGGACAGTGCGCAGCCAGACAACATTCCTATAAATAAAATACGAGCAATAATTCGCAACAATTAGTCAAATTGATTCAATCACTAATTGAGTGCTTCACAGTGCAGTTGATGACATACGTTTCCACTTGAACGCGTTTCGTTTACGCTTCAATGAATAAATAAATAGTTTTCAGCTCCAGACGACTGTTAAGTGTAATTTTTACATTTTGTTCATACAAATTAAATTCTAAAGAAACATTTTAAAATACAAAGAAATTGCGCTATACAACGCGAAGTAAAATGTATTCTTCGATCTTGTTCGTTGCTTCATGGAATCGTAATTTAGGATTACGAGCAAACAGAACACCCGATGACCAACCATGGCAACTGCCAACACGAAAATCATACAATTTTAGAGAACAAACGGCAGAAACTAAAACATTTCCTTCACAATTATGGCACAGATATAATATGTATCTTGAAATAACATAGTGAGTATCCAAATAAGTTCACGATTTCATTTCACGGCATTCACATAATTAATATTAATCATGAGATACTTGTCTACCTCCACTCGCTTCTTCTAATATTACATTAAGCCTATTTTACTAAGAAATATACAATCACTGAAAACTCATTACGATGCCAGAATCATAAAATTTATATGAATGAAGTAACGTTAGGTAATATCTTTAAAGTATGGTTTCAATTCGTGGTCTCTGAGTAGTTATTTATGTGAAATAATTTCGAAATCTAGAATGCATGTAATTTTGACGAATCAACAATATCAATATCAACATCAACGACCCGTGATTTGATGATAGTCGAGCTGAACGGTAGGCCTTCTCTACGTAAGAGGTTTTATTTCTTTTCGTGCCTTTTTTTTGAGGGGAAAAATTTTTCCAATGACTTCTCCCGCCCGGGTGAGGCGAATGGGAGTGTGAGACTCTTACTGACTAAAAACCACCCGTTCCTACCCCTGCACTTCTAACCGGAGCCTTGACATCCCGTTAAGTCTTCCGCGGCTCCGTATCGACATCAGCTCTGTTAAGCCCCATCTGTGGTGGTCTGATGGCTCCTTGAGGTGCGCGCGGAACGCGACACGCCGTACGTTCAGGCCTGGTACTGGTCGGGCGGCAAGACACCTGTGCTCGCCGTTCTTTTCGCGCCTTGTAGATGTTGGAGACCGCAGTCAAAAAGGTTTAATTAACATTAAGGGACAGAAATAATTTTCCTTAAAATGACATTATTTAGTTAATTTTCAATAGATAAACTTAAGTGTAACTTCTTCACATCGTATAAAATTTCCATTAGTTGTTTGTCAAATGTTATAGGTCTATGTAGCAAATGATTTGGGTCTGATAGGGTCCATTGCCTATATCACATTTCAATTCTATGTCAAAAATATTATTACCTAGTTGGCTTATAAGCTTTCCTCAGACTTGTGCCAAATGATGGATAAAATAAAAGATCTTGATCAAAACATGCCAGTTTAGTTTTAGATAGTGTTTTTAAATTGCACGCGTAAATATGTTGAACAAAACTAAAATTATTTTACCTATATTCTTTGTCATTATAACCAAAAAGAATCGACCTCTTGAAACCTTTAGGTTAGCCTAACATATGTCAACTCCAAATAATTTATATAAACTTTGAAATTCTTATTTGTAGTAGGAAATTAGATATCAGATCAATGAGCTGCAATTTTACCAACAAAATTAATATTATACGCAGGGTTGTGAAAACTTAGATTTATTCAAAAATATGTTATGACTGTGCCTATGGGTGTGTCAAAAGCTTTATGAAAGCATATTTTATGCATACTTCCAACCCTTAAAAGTGTTGTGTTCATTTCACCCTCAAAATGGAACGGTTGGTATGCTTTGACGTACTTCGCATAAGTTGCAGACTTTCTATACTTATAATAATATCGAATAATTGCAATTTTTGTTATAATTAAAATAAATTAATTATATGTATGGTGTATCTTATTCAAAGTTCCCCATACTATATTACAAAGATTTTATAATAAATGAATTTGGATTGAAAAAGGAAACGTGTGTCAAACGTATAAACTTTGTTTATATAGGACTAACTAGTCGCATAAAGATGAAGAGTCTCCTTGTTTATCAAAGCGTTAATCTCTGGAAGACATTATTCGAATTCAATAATTTTGTGTTGGATAGTTCATTTAATGAGAAATGAAATATCACTCTACGATCAATAGGAACCAAGCAGTGGGGGATACTACGCGGAAATAGTTTTTTTTTAAGAGGGGAAAATCATTCAATCACTTCTCCCACCTGGGAGAGGCGAGAACGAGTGTCAGACTTTTACTGACTAAAAACCACTCTGTTCCTACTCCTGCACTTCGAGCCGGAGTCCCGGCAACCCGTTAAACCCTCCGCGGCTCCGTAACGGCATCAGCCCTATTGGACCCCATCTGTTGTGGTCTGATGGCTCCTTAAGGCGCGCGCGGAACGCTACGCCCCGTACGCTTAGGTCTGGTTCTGGTCAAACGGTGAGTTACCCGTGTTCGCCGTCCACAGGCCCATGCTTACGGTGGCCGGAAATCGCGCGACGGCTAGGGCGTGAGGAGGTTCGTTCCCTCACAGCCTACTCTTTAGCTAGCATGGCTGCTTCGCAGAAGGAAGAGGCATCCCAGTCCTCCTCGCTCTGTACCATGATCTGAAGCAGAACCGGACGCGAGAAGACGCCGTCGCACGCGGGAATAGTTAGTATGTCATAATTTATCTTAAGGAAAATGATAGTATTATTGTAATAAAAACAGCTCTCAATATCAAAGAATGATGTCATTTGAGTAAGTGTTCAGATAAACCCTATGGGTCAGTTTCATTCAATACACAGCATGTTTCAAAATTACTACATTTCTATATCAAAACAGATATATTCTTGCTTTGAAGTTTATGCATCAAAGGTGATGTTCCAGAAATATTTGGAGCCTTTTGAATAGGTATATAATTAGATCTTCACTTCACACCACTTTATTTTTCAAAACTTATTTTTCTATGGGAATTTTAAAATTAAGTATTTATAATTACGTTGTTAAATCCATGCAATTAGTAGATTTAATTTGCAAATCGGGAATATAAAAAAAACATATTTAATGGTGATGTTTTATACATTGACTGACATTGTTTCATATTCAAGCATTCTGTATGTTGTAGACTTGAGATAATTTTATTAGGTAGATGTTTTTATTTATTATTTTATGTATATACGACACAGTGTGTTTCCAGTCACTTAACGCAACATATGCAAACATGTGGGATAAAATTCTATTCTTGTTCTGTGTAACTACGACTTTATGGGAAGTGAATTCCGTGTATCTGAAAAATACCGTACCTACGGAAAAATATGTTCCCTGTAATTTAGGATTGTTACATTTTGATAAAGTTCGTGAAAATTACTGGAAGTGTACAGTGAATTTTGGACTTTATAACATAACAGATGCTGTTATGTCGATCGTTTTTATTAACAAAATCAATGTGGATACCGTAAGTATTTCAAGCATTTCAATGTTCTGCATATTATCATTATGCAGAACTATGGGGTAAGCCGTCCAAGGGGTATAGAGGTACATAGTGTATACTAATGTAGTCATTATTTCTAGTTTATAAGACAATAAGGAGGCCTATCTAAAATTACCAATCTTCTTTTACTAAATGTATTTTTAATTTTATGTATAAATCTCCAATTTTGAAAATTATTTGAATCATTTAATAGTAATAATGATTGAATTATTTTCAGTATCAAAACAACTACTTCACAGTACAAAAAACAAACAAGTATAGTCTATTAATATCTTCAAAACAACTTCTACTGGAAAAATTCGTCTTTAATGTGTCTACAGAAAATTTTAAGAAAAATGATAATGATGTTCCTGTTGTCAATTTGTTGACTCTAAACAATATTCCTCTATGCAACGATAGAATTAAGGTATGTATCTGTGTAACCTATTGATGTTGATAATGATGTTCGATGGAACAAACAAGGATGTCTTGTCATTCCTACGTTCACTTTTAAATAATTGTGTCTATACTTACTCAATGTTTTTCAGGCAGCGCTAAGAACGATACCAGCGAATGTAACTCACAGTCATTCAGGCAAGCTGCATACCCATGTCTGTGGCAGAAGGCTCATCAACCATACAGAACTGGTTACAACAAGAGCTGAAGCTCAACAGGGTGACTGGCCCTGGCACGTCGCTCTTTATCTTAAGGAGAGCCGAAATACAATAAGTTACCATTGTGGTGGCAATGTCATTTCTAGAACTGCGATTTTGACTTGTAAGTTTCTTCTGCTCAGGGCAGGCTCGACGGCGTAATAATTCGATTGCACAGAAAACCGGTGTGATATAAAGCTCGCATGAATGAGGTTACCAGAGGCCCATTGTTATTTTGGAGATTGATTCCTCATCCTCAGACCCCTCATCCTGAATAGGCCTTCATCGGACCTGTAAATCCTTAGGTGTTGTGGGTGTCTATGGACGGTGCCGATTAGAATAAATCGTTTAATATAAACTTTTCAGTAACTTAACTGTAGTCGCGTTTGAACCTTCTCGGTAGGGATGTTCCGTAGCACGGGCCTGCGGACGGCGAGCATGGGTGACTCGCCGCCCGACCAGAACCAGGCCCGAGCGTACGGCGCGTCGCGTTCCGCGCGCGCCTCAAGGAGCCATCAGACCACCACAGATGGGGCCTAACAAGGCTGATGCCGATACGGAGCTGCGGAAGACTTAACGGGTTGCCGGGGCTCCGGTTCGAAGTGCAGGTGTAGGAACGGGGTGGTTTTTAGTCAGTAAGAGTCTGACACTCCCTTCCGCCTCACCCAGGCGGGAGAAGTCATTGGATGATTTTCCCCCCTCAAAAAAAAAAAGAGGGATGTTCCGTAACTATATTTATAGACACTTTGATTTATTTGAAAGTCACAGTCGATATTATTTTTTGTTTTATTAATGAGTATACTTAAACTAGGTACCTAGTATATAAATATCAATGTTGTACTCAAAATAACAACGATTATTTAATTTTGTTTTCAGCAGCTCACTGTGTTTCCAATAACGGTGTTTTAAGAAATGTTAGCACCATCTACATAGTTGCTGGACTGAGTAATTTGACAAACTCCAAGCAGCCAGGAAAGCAAAAACTCGTTGTAAGTAACATTTGAACCACAGATTGAACCTTGTTGGTCTAATAGTAAAAATGTGACAAAAATGTGATACCACGATATGATATCAAGTAAAATGAACTGAACTGTATTTGTAGTTAAATTAAGTTAAAAAGAAAATGTCGGTAGCCGCGTGTTGGTGAAGTGGTTGCAGGTCTTTTTCATGGGTCGGACGAGAAATTGATATTTTTAGGTTTTCATAAATATGGTTGATATAATAATTGTGACAAAGAAATAACCCTTATCACATGGGACTCTTAACACAATTGGTGGGTGTTACATCGTATAGATAATTTTGCGCAATTCTGCCAGCAACTTCACAGATTAAATTGCATTAAATAAAAAATAATTTCTTATTATTTTCAGATAGAACAAATCATTATGCACCCAGCGTATAAAAGCGGTGATCCTACATCAGATTTAGCAATAATCAAAGTGAAAAATATTGATTTTACGGATTACGTTCAGCCTATATGTGTCTGGGGGCCCGTTTTTGATAAACATAAATTTTATTATAAAGAAGCTACGGTAGGTTTTCATAAAAATTACGTTACATACAATTTTTATTATTTGTTAGCAAAATACAATTTATTTGTCATCATTTTTTCATTTCACTAATCTATTTTTTTAGAACAAAAAATAGATATATAATGTTTATATTGTATATTGTAATGTTTATAGGTATGTGTTGTGTTAAATTGTTTATGCGAATTTTCTGTACTAAAGTTGAATCTAACTATTACTTATTTGTGTATTACTAAACATTGCGAAACATTTATTTTTTTCAGATGGTAGGCTTCGGTCTTACAGAACGCAATATGGTATCTACAGTATTAAGATCAACCCACGTAAAAGTGCAAAATGACTCTACTTGCACCTCTTTTATGCAGACTTACAAATTATATTTGAATGATTACACTTTTTGCGCAGGAAACGGTCCTAATTCCAGTAAGTAAAACACAATAATATATACATTTTATCAATACTAGCGACTACTACCCTGTCTCAGTGGATTGTAATTCCTTAATCTTACCAGCGCCATCTATACTAATACTTTTGTTTTCCCTCGGGAATATCAAAATTTTCCGGGATAAAAAGTACCCTATTATTTAATTCGGACTTCTAACTTTACGGTTGCAAAAATTCAAAGCAATCGGTTTAGTAGTTACGGCGCGAAAGCGGAACAAACAAACAAACTCACTTGCCGATTTATAATATTAGTAAGGATGTTTGTACGCAATTATCTCACGATTGGATGAACCGATTTTCATGCGGTTTTCAGAATAGTGTTTATTACTTAGGAGAAAGTTTTAGCATATTAATTAACCGACTTCAAAAAAAAATAAGGTAGAAGTCAGTTTTTAAACGTAGTTTATAAAAGACTGCCTCGTTGACCGAGTGGTCGCAAGTGCGACTGCCGGACAAGGGGTGTCGGGTTCGATTCCCGGGTCGGGAAAATTATTACTGAGTTTTTAAACAAATCTCATTAACTCGTCGAGTACCGGTTTTATAGACACAATTAAAGAACAATAGGTCGCGGTCACCGGTGACCGCTTGGTATTTGACAGTTTAATAGCACGAAGTCTGGAATTGTGCCCAGTGTATGGCATAAGATTACCCCCCTTTTACATGGCACTGATAAAATAAATAGTGAAAAGTGGGTGTTACATTGTACAGTGGCACTAAGTGCAGCAATATGCACCTCTGCCTACCCCGTTGGGAATAAAAGCCGTGATGTTATTATGTTGTGTTTATTGAAGAATTATTTTAATATTACTATTCTCTTGTAGCATTAACTTATGAATGCTTAAGTATTGTATACAATTATCTAATAGCTTTGTCACGATCACAGATGTCAAAAGTCGATCTGCAAAATTATAGTACTTACTACTTCTTGTAATGAATAACATAAACTTCCTAATAGGTACATTATTGCAGTAAATTTTGAATAACTCTCTATATAGTATAGTTCAGTATTCACTAAGACACAAACAGATGAACTTGACTAAATATTATCCTTTGAATAATGCAACTGAAGGTGCATGAACTGTACAATACTAACTAAGATTAAATTGATCAGTGGCTCGCAACTGATAGGGCTACCTGCTACAGTTATGGACTATGGATCCATTAAAGCGAATAGATTGTTACTTCGCATTGATCAACAGTGTGGAGAAAATATTATTATGTTTTCCTTGGAAATAATGTGATTTCAATATTCCAAACTGATCGCTGTTGATTGCAAATTTCATTATATTGGTTTTATATTAGGTGTGATTGTATGAAACTAAAATTTCTTTGAAAAATCGCGAAAGAACAACGGCGTGAAACATAAATAAATAGTGTAAACATATATGTTAATGGAAATAAATAACATACAGTGTTATTCTAATATTTACCTCTATATTACTTATTAGCTTCAAATAGCTTCACTTTTAATTTTATTAATGCCGTTCAAAAGTATCTTTCTGGTCTAATTGAAATAAATGATTTTGACTTTGACTTTGACTATTGACCGATACACTATCGCAAAACATATTATTGAATAAATTGCGATAGTTCATAGGTCGGCCGCAAACTTTTAGTATTATTAAATTGACATGAGTTTTTTTACAAATAATCTTATATTCGATTGCAAGTATTAGGTAGATACGAAATATTTATTATTATACAAAAAAATTGTAATATTTTATTTTTCTTTTCAGCTGCAAATCCTCTCAATGGTGATAGTGGAGGCGGACTGGTATTTAGTACCATGCAACCTGACCATAAGATTAGTTGGTTCTTACGAGGAGTTTTTTCAAAATGTTTTTCTTCCCCTGGTGCTTCCGTCTGTAATTCTAGTTACTATGTTGTGTATACTGATGTGGGACCATACTACGGATGGATTTATTACCATGCTGACCTAGACTTCAGTGATAATGTTATGGTATCATACATCAATTAATCATTAACAATCCGCTGGAGTATACCGCTGGTCTTTGGATCTCGTTCACAAAAAAGGAGTTTGGTATTATCTCCGAACATGACAGGTGTATTGGAGATCACAATCTAAAAGGATCAGGTTATCAGAGCGCGGTGCTGCCCGGTTTCGGTTTTAGAAGAAAGTCTAACTTATGCTGTTCAAAAAATAAAACATGCGAAACTCTTTTATCTTCTAAAATGCAACCTTTCATCTCAAAAAATCGGAAATATATTAAAATTTTCTTAAAGCAACATCACCGGGCGCCGCTCTTGCATAATTTATTAGAATCTTATTAAAAAGTGTCAGCGAAAGAAAAAGGAGAGGTCCGTATTATAAAAGTCTCTATTATGTCGTCCAAGTAAGTTGTTTTGTGAAAAAATAAAAATAATTATGTTCCCTTTGTTTTCAGACTTCATTGTTAATTTTATCTTTTAATAAACAACTTTTTAATGAACTACATTGATGGGGCATCGAAGTGGAGTCGATTTTTTTTTAAATTTTAAATATTTTCAGACAAAGCAGGTGTTTTAAATGTTTGTAATTTGTTGTTTTTATACCGAGAACCCTGATACACAATTTAATGAGCTTCGGCACATTGAATTATGGCTATGATACCTTTCAAACAGAAGTAGTCGAGCTATGGCGGACGTCTATATACTTTTGCCCACAATCCTTTCAGCTCTCTACGTATTGTACTTTCGGCTGTGCATTGTCTGTCAGTCACCCCGTAACAAAAGAGTTTTATAGCATTAAGCTAACTAAGTAACGTAATTGTTTAATTAAATACCTAAATTATACCTATTTATAAAACCACAATAAAAAGGAATAACTTTAAACTTTTTCTAAAAGTAACAAAAATAGCTAAATATTAGTAAAAAGAAGAAAATGTAATACTACCCAGCTCCGTGAGAGTAACCATAATAGTAGTACCTATGGGAGCGAGCGATAACTTCGCTATGCTTCATCGGTATTTAATTTCTACTCGCCCGGAAATTTTTATTTTGCGATAATTCATTAAGTATGATTAGTATGATTTTGTTACATACTAACTGCTGCCAGTGGCTTCGCCCGCGTACCCAGGGATAAAATGTTTTTAATCACATTTTTGACACTCAAAAAAGTGGTTAAAAACCTAGTTATTATAGAGAAAATCAAGGACTAGATTAGCAATGAATTGGAGCACAAAAGTAAAATTAGCTACAGAAAACAAATTAAAGTTTTTACGCATAACTTTTGGCATGTTTACTCTTTTTCTCACTTTGGTTCTTTAACTATCAAATATCAATAAAACTTAAGTTTAAACTTGTAAAAGTAAGACTGCCTCGTTGGCCGAGTGGTCGCCAGTGCGACTGCCGGGCAAGGGGTCTCGGGTTCGATTCCCGGGTCGGGCAACGTATTACTGGGTTTGTAAAAAAATCTCAGTAGTAGCACGGAGTCTGGAATTGTGCCCGGTATATGGCAATAGGCTCACCCCCTATTACATGGGACTCATGACATAAACAGTGAAAAGTGGGTGTTACATTGTACAGTGGCATAATGTGCACCTCCGCCTACCCCTTCGGGGATAAAAGGCGTGATGTTATGTGTGTGTTTAAACTTGTTGCACGGGCATCTGATCAAACAAAAGAATTCGAAATAATTTTACACCAAAAGCCAATCCACCTTAAACTCTAGTAAAGGACCGAAGTCGTTTTTATTCATTCATAAAACAGTAACGACTTAGTCAAACGATTAATTAAGAGATAAGAGTTACGCGTACAAGAAGTTGACGTTCTCTCAGTACGCAGGCTTAGTATAGTTATGACAGATATAAGATATTTTGTGTTAACACTTTTGAGTTTGAAAGCCGTAGAAAACAAAATGGAAGGTAAAGTTGTTGGAGGGATAGAACCTGTCATAACTAAATTTCCTCATTCTGCGTTTCTTCATGTGAAATGTAATGTAAAAAATAAAGCGAAAACTAAATACTGGACCTGCGGTGCTTCCGTTTTAAATCAAAAAATAATATTGACGGCAGCGCACTGCATGTACGGGTGTGACTCCACCAGTACTCTTAACGTTAATATGGGACATGTCCATAAGGATAAAGGCTTTTCAAGCATGGTTAGAATGCACGTTTTACACAAGGATTTTAAAATTAACATAGCATCTAATGACATAGGATTGGCGTCCATTAAAGGTACCATTGAATTTAATTCAAACATTAAACGGATCGCCATTATGGAAAGACCCCCTTATTTTGAAAAATCACAAATAGCTGGTTGGGGTCTCATTGATGTAAGTATTTTTGATTGACGTATATGAATTAATTCGTAATTGTATTTTAGATTTGTATAAAAGTGTATATTTAATATTAACTGTAAATTGAATTCTTGCTTCGTATAGTTTGTACAACGGTCAGCAAGTCAACCTACTGCAATCTGTGACAAAAAAACTAACAATTGTATATTTTTTATAGGAAATAACAAATAAAGAGGACGATATCCTTAGGTATATAGATCAATATGTTTGGAAGAGAAATGCATGCTTGAAAGTACTCAAGAAAATGCCAAGTGGTACTATCTGCGCAAGAAGTAAGGATAAAGAATCATATTCTAGTGGGTAAGAAGATATTACGTGGGGTGCGGTGCCAGAAGACCTCCCCGTGGTGCACCCTGGGTGCGGGCGACAGTCTCCCTAGCGGGGGTGATAGGGTTGGAGTGACTGTCGCCCGCAGCAGACTTCTGGACTGGGCGGGCGAACCCGATAGGGTTCTGGAGGCGGCGGGCTGTGTGCGGAGGCTCATAGCCCGCGCTTCCGAGGGGCGTTTCTCCGCCCGTCTCTCTGGACATAGCAGAGAGCGTGGCGTAGAGGCAAGGGCGGTGCTCGTTGTGCACTCACCCTGCCAGCGAGCAGCATCGGGACACAAGCTGTCCCCGATTGCAGCCGTCGATATCGTAATCCGTAAGGAGGTCACGGTCATGTTTTGTGACTCTGAACGGGACGAGGGTCTTGGCTTGGTCGCCCGGACCGCGAGGAAGATAACCTCTATAAAAAATTCCTCCAATACTAAGTTCTGGTGCGCGGCGAGAGTATGCATGGCTGAGGAGTAGTGTCAGTCGCGAGCGCACCCCCAGCTAGGGGACCAGTGGAACCTCTAGTTGGGAAACAAATGAACACTTACCCAGGTACAGGGGGCACTGCCTGGGTGGACCGAATATTTCCCCCATACTCGTGGGAACTGTATGGAGAAAGCAAAACCTAAAAAAACAAAACCACAATTGTCGGAGGAGGAGAGTGCGGGTGAGCTTGGCTCACCTGCAGACGTAGTAGAGGGGAGCCCAAGGGGCTCTGGCGCCCGTGGGGAGACGCTGGACACATCTAGCATGCCCCACACACGGGCATCAATTACGATGGTGTCGGACCCTGAGTCCGACACATCACTGGCGGATCGGCTGAGCGTGAGCTCGAAGGGCTCACGCCGTCGCGTGACGGGGACGTTTAAGCGTCCCAGGCTGGAGGAGGACGCTTCGTCCCCGTCCTCCGGCGCGCAGGCGCCTCCCCCTAAAGTCCCAACGGCGGCGCGGGGTAGGGGCGGCAAGGGCGGCGGTCGCCGGAAACCGGCACCAGTTGCCTGCGTGGAGTCGGCCGAGCAGCTGGCTGCGGAGGGCAGGGCTCTCTCGAGCGCTGCCCGTTCAGAGTCCTCCGCAGCCGAGATGTCCGGCGTGGAGGTTTCGGAGGGCGAGTCGGGCTCCGAGAGCGCGAGCGGCTCCGGGCACCTCCGACAGGCCATCACGGAGGTGCTCCATAAACTGGCTATGGGGAAATCCCAGCCGGTTAGGCTCTCCCTCCTCAGGGCGGCGGTGGCCACTATCACGGAGGCAGCCTTGGAGCAGTGCGCGGTGCCCACTGCAGAAAAGGTGCGCTCCGAGCTGGGCGAGATGCGGCGGGAGCTGGCGCGCTTGGCGGCCTCCAATGCGGCCCTGGAGGCCGAGCTGCGGACGGCCAGGGCCGAGCTCGCCGCTGCTCGCGGCAGTCTCCCCCAGCCCCCGGCGGAGTCCGACGTAGTCGGACTGCTGCGAGCGGAGATGGCTGCCTTCCAGCGACGTTTTGACGTGCTGGAGGGCAGGCTTTTGCGCCCCCCGCTCGCATCGAGCCGGGCCTCCCCGCCCGCGGCATCGGGCTCATACGCGGCTGCTGTGGCCAAGCCTCCGACCTCCACTGGTCAGGCTGGCCGCGGCCCCCAACCGCCGGCAAAGGCGCGGGCGCCTCCTCCCGCGAGGCCCTCGGCGCCCCCGCCGGCGCAGACCCCAGCTGCGCCGATGGCGCCTGCGCCCATGAGGCGCAAAAAGAGGAGGGACACTCCAGCCCGGCAAGCTGGAGTTGCAGCAGCGGCGGCAGAACCCGCCCCGCGAGTGGAGGACGGCGGCGGTTGGCAAATCGCCGGCGAGGCGAGGAGAGTCGCCAGGGAGGGCCGAAAGCGCCGCAAAAAGGCGCAGCGGCAGCGACGGCAGCAGCAGCGCAGGGAGAAACGCGCTGCTGCCTTGCTCCTCGCCCCTAAGACCGCGGCTGTAGTTATTACACTGCAGCCCGAGGCGGTCAATAGGGGCGTTACCTATGGTGACGTCCTCGCCAAGCTCAAGGGGGCGGTAACACCTGCGGAGTTCGGGGCCCCGGACGGGTTTGCGGTCAAGGTGACCGCTACCGGAGCCCGTCTACTGGAGGTCCCCGGCGCGGCCAGTGGCCCGTCGGCCGACGCCCTGGCTGAGAGGCTTAGGGCGTGCCTCGGGGCAGACGAGGCCCGCGTGTCCAGGCCCACCAAATGTGTGGATGTCCGGATATTGGGCCTGGACGACTCCGTCACGGAAAGTGAGGTGGTGGCCGCTGTGGCCAGGACGGGAGGGTGCCCTGCTGACCAGATCAAGGCGGGCACCATCCGTCCGGACAACTCGGGGCTGCGCACGGTGGTGGTGAGCTGCCCCGTCACAGCGGCCAAGAAGCTG